AGGTGTGGCCTGACGTATGTTTTGTACAACATTAGAAAGAGCTCAGGAGTGAGTGCACCTAACTGTCTATGCGTAAAGTGTATGACCGCATATGCCCTCGCTACATCCCCTGTGTAATTTACGCTTGTGTCCATTTTTTCCGTTAGAACTAGACCTAAGTCGCGTTCCGACGTTGTGCAGGACAAGCTTTCATTGCACAGGGTGTAACTTGCATTCTGCAGTCTACAGGTGCGCAACTTCACTACTTTGCACTTTTTCAAGTTGAAAGTCATGCCACTGGCCACCGCCCAGTCTTCCAGAAGGTTTAGGTCTTCCTGTAGCCTATCTGAGTCCTCCGGACACTTTATCGCCCTCCATATTTTTACGTCGTCAGCGTACAGGAGAGTCGGGCAGCTCAGACGGCGTGGTAGATCATTGATGAAAATCAAAAACATCAGTGGTCCTAGGATAGAACCCTGCGACACTCCTGATGACGATCTGTGCCAAGATGATCGGACTCGGTTAACCTTAGTGCAAAATTGCCTGTCGGCTAGGTAGTCCTTCAACCATGACAGAAGTGGCTCACCTATGCCTGCCTGTCTTATTTTATGTAGGAGAAGGTCATGGTGAACAGTGTCAAATGCCTTCTCAAAGTCTAGGAAGACCACATGGACTGGTACGTTCAAGTCCCAGCATGATGTCCAGTCGTCCCAAGCTGACAGTAGGTTAGTGACGCAGGATCTGCCTTTTCTGAAACCATGTTGGGCTTCATGCAGTATATTAGTCCTATCGAAATATTCCCTGATGTGGTCGTCAATAATACTTTCCAGTACTTTTGATACCACTGGGAGTAGAGCTACTGGTCTATAGCTAGCAGCGTTTTGCCTGTCCCCACCCTTGAAGATTGGAGAAAGGATGGCTCTTTTCCACTCCCTTGGCAGGGTCCCCGAATCCATTGAGTGTTGGAACAAGTCGCACAGGGGTCTACAGAGAGCCTCGGCGCACTGTTTCAGAACAGATGGCCTGATGTCATCACAACCTGGGGACTTCCCAGGTATGAGTCGCTGTAGCTTCCTTAGTACTATTGCGGGGTTTATTTGGGGAGTAGTCGCTAGGTCTTCCTCCTCTGAAATAGTGGTGCCACCATTTTGGTCCGTAACTGTAATATCCACATTGCTGTTTAGCTGTTTAGCGAAGGCTGAACTGAATGTTTCAGCCATCTCCAGACTAGTGAGATATTGACCGTTTGGGCCTACTAAGGCGCATGCCCCTTGGTTTGTCGGTTTTCTTTCCGACATGAATCGGTACAAGTTTTTAGGGTTTGATAGGAGTTTTTTAGCAAGGTTAGCCTGGAATGACCTTCTGTCCCTCCTAACTCTTGCATTACACCGGTTCCTGAGTTCGAGGTATGCATCATGGTCGGTCTGACTCTTAGATACACGCCACGTAAACCAAGCCCTCCGCTTTGCTTGCAGAATACGTTGCGTGCCTCTCTTCAACCATGACGTCTTTCTCTTAGGCTGTGTTGTGACTAAAGGGACGGTATCCGAGATTGCTGCATGGATAATCTTTTTTACCACTTCCCAGTGTTCATCCACAGATAGGTCGTCCCATGCTAAGGGCCAGTCTGCGTCGGACAAGAGCCTCCGCATTTCAGCATAGTCAGCCTTGCTGTAGCACAGACATGGTCGCGTAACATCCCATTGCAAACGCTCACGGAGGACAAGATCGAAACCTATGACTGCATGGTCACTGCTTCCCAGAGGAGTCATGATCTGGACCTTTTCGACGAGTAGCTGGTCACTAGTTAGAATATAATCTAGTTTTGATGACTTTCCACTAGGGCCCCACCTAGTGTCGTCTCCAACATTCTCAGTCAGTCCCGTGTTTCGAATAGTTTGCAGTAGGTTTCGGCCAAATTTTCCCTTAGCACACCCGGAGCCGAGGTTCAGTGATGGAGCATTGAAATCTCCAGCTATGGTGATTTGGTCGTAGCCCAAATCTCGTATTCCTGTGATAGTGCTGAGCAGTAGCTGATTGTGCTCTGCCCCACAGGTGGGAGATCGGTAGATGCCACCCAGTAAGTGCTTGGTGTGGCCTACGGTGAAATGACACCATATGGAGTCTGGGAGTTCGATAAGTGGTGGGTCCGTTGCGCGCACACATTTAAGTTGCCTATCAAAGTATATAGCAACTCCCCCTCCTTCCTTATTATCCCTGTCTCTCCTGACCAGTACCATATCACCTATACTGATTTCATTGTCGGCGATAGTGGGGTTTAGCCACGTTTCAGTAAGAATGATTATTTTCAGTTGAAGGTGTGCTTGGAGATTTCGAAGTTCACCTACTTTCCCTCTCAGCCCCCTCACATTGCTATATAGGCAACTGACAGTGAGTCTAACAACCTCAGAGTGTTGTGGGGTAGTTGACGTGAAACCGTCTGCTGGTGGGGGACTTGATGTTGGAACTAGTTGGCCGATTCCGATAGAACCGGCCCGTTGTAGTTTTTTTCAATGGATTTAGGCAGGACACTTGGGAGACACAGACTATTATTCTCAGAGCTGCATCGCTCTAGTGTCACCGAAGCTTGGGGTCGTATTAAAGCCTCAGTTTGCTGCCTCCTTATATTTCTGGGTCTGCTTTCACAGCATCGGATGTGTCCTCCAATTTTTCCCTTGGTCTCATACCACCGTTGAAGTGATATGGACAACTGCTCCGGGGAGTTGAATGTGACACACAGCAGCTTTGGAGAGTTAATCAATGTTAGATGAGCGGGACGAGGTAGTCGGAAAATGGAGATGGCTCCAGAAGCGCCAGGGGCCATCTGAGATGACAGCCATCTCCATTGTTGTACGTCGTGCATGTGTTTTTCACAAGCAGTGCCGGTTTCCAGCTCCGGAACACCGTGTACCACCATAGAGGTGGAAGGCATCAGTTCCGGTGACTCCCTCGCCATATTTCTGACGGCCCATGGTCTATCTTGCCGCGCTCTTATGTTAGAACTTCTGCCCAGGGCTAGTACCTGAGCCATTAGCAGTACTTTTTCGGCCTCTTCGGCTGAGTCCAGTGTAACCCGTAATGGGGGTGGCTTACCCTGAGGCGTGTGGACACCCCTGTACAGTCTGCACAGTTTTGCTGAACTAATGTTCAGACCTAGTTTGCCACACAGGTTGGACCACTGTTCCTGATCAAACAGGGCCCGTTGTTCGAGCAAGCTATCCGTGCTCACAGGTACGTTAAAGAGGATGAGAGAGTTAGACCGACTACCCTCAGACTTAGGTTTTGCCTTCGGCTTCTTGCAGTCCTTTGCATCATTAGCAACATTAGGCTTCGTCGGTACCTGGACAGCCTTTTTTGTGTTGCCAGGCTTGCTAGTGGATGCAAGTGGTGCCTTTGTAATTTTGCCCTCCCCTGTTGTGGATGGAACCTTGCTAATCTTCACCTTGTGAGAATTGGCATTTCCAGTCAGTAGGGCTGGTGTGTCCTTCTTTAAGTCTTTGACCAGTTTCGGCAGTGCGAGTTTAGCAGGGGGGGGCGGCATGATACTGTGTTGGGGCACAAGAGCATGTTATTTCTGCTATCCGCAGACACGCTTTGTGGGACTATGCCAGGGCGACAAAGTGGACACACGTACCAAAACCATGGGCATGGGTTATTTCTCATAAACTCATAGTATGCTTTCGGTACTTCTTTGTCACAACGGCAGTGCACCCATCGTTTGCAAAAATTACATTCAAACGCTGAATCAGTTTTAGAAACTGTGATGTTGCACGCCTGGCATTCATCCCCTTTCCTTGATGACGCCTTCGAGGTCTTATGACGTCTTGAACGTTTCCTTTTAGGCTTGATGTGTTTCACACACTGGCCTACAGTTGATGCAGGTGTAGAATTCTGTCCTTCTGGTATTGCCTGTGCCGTTTCAGTACTAGACTGTGGCAATGCAGGCGTTGTATCAGGGCAGACTAAAGCTACACGAGTCTTTAGGATCGGTATGCGGGAAGGGGTTGAAATCCCTGGATTTTTTCCTTCCCTGGCTGAAGCCCTTGTGACTACAGAGTACGGTATTCTAGTGGCTTTTTTAAGGCTGCTTTCAACAACCATATTAACAGTCACTATAAATTATGCTATGTACGTCTAAGAGAGCAACAGTTTCTAACCAAAAGAGCAAGAATAAGACTGAAAAAGTGTAAAGCAAGGAAAAGAAAAGGTTTTCGACTTTACCTAGTACTTTCTGAATGATCGGCTTCACGGCAATCACGTGGTAGACCAACAAGTCTTGTTTCTCTGAACGAGTGAGGAAGATGCTGCTACAAAAGTAGCACCTGAAGCTTTGGCAGTAGTTCGAGACAGCTGGACTTACCACACAGAGATTTACTATGTAAGTAATGGTTGAATTAAATTCACCGGCTAGGAAGATCAGGTTTCCCAAACGGATAATTCACAGAATTGGTATTTTCCGGTTGGAGAGGAAAAAGCACGTCGTATTCAAGTCAAAAACTGCCTAAACAAACAACAACTTGTTCTAACTAGAATTTAAGTATGGCTGTTTCAGTGTAATTTGATTAATTTGCGTGATATTAGATATCAGATATACTCAGTAGATGAGTTAAAATAAAGAAGACAGGCGTTTGTACACAGGGTACGAAAATCTAACGAGGATTCTGAACACTTCTTGATGTAAATAATTACAGAAAAGTTCACTATTTCACCAAAGTTTGTTACAAACTCATTGCATATTGAAGCTCCTAGACTATATGGTGGTAGTTTGGCGCGGCAATTTCAAAAATCTGGTAACTTTCACAGCTTTGTGTTTTTAAGCGTTGCGTCAACTTGTATGTACATTATTCTGTATCTTTGCTTTAATTTTATTTGATGTGTTTGCTTGCTCTCTAATCCAAAATTTACTCTTACAGAACCAGTGGCCTACCATTGCCCACTCCAAGTTCGATCTTCCAGTTTCCCCTCAGACCTAATTACAAGGTGGACAATAGTTTATCAGAAGCTGCTTTTGGTCTCTAAAAATGATAGGTGTGAGCAATATCACAAATAGAACAGATCCAAACAGCATGAAATCACGTGTTTTTGTGGGGAATCTTAATACAGTACATATGTCAAAAACAGAATTGGAATCGATATTTTCTAAATATGGGGCAGTTGTTGGGATATCCGTACATAAGGGATACGCCTTCATTCAATACGCGAGCGAGACTAATGCACGTGCTGCGGTTATTGGTGAAGACTCAAAGACATACTACAACATGGTCCTAGGTAATTTTATGTGGATATTTTGGTTGAAACTGTTTTCGTTATCTTCGAGTAGTTTTCAGTTCTCACTTCACCTCAAATGTTTATATCCGCTACATTTTTATGCTTTAGATGTGACTATAGCGTCCGAGCCAAAGAATCGCAAACGGGGAAGGTCAAATCCGGCATCTTCGCTACCGTCTTGGTAATTAGTGTTTTTAATACAATAACTGATTATTTCTTCTTATAGGAATGGTTTAACGAGGTATGTTTCAATTTCACTACCTGGTGTTTCGTGAGTTTTACCTGACGATTCCATAATCCCAATTCTACTTCTGATAAACTTTTGATCCCTTTATTCTGTACGAGTTTCAAGTGCATTTTGTTAACTTAGAATAGGTAAACAGTTGCTTCACGATTCGTGCATAGAAAAGCGTGCCTGGTTGTTACTATACTTTCAGATAGATGTATTATATAACGGGTAGTTTTTGAGTTTGGATTTGTTCCTAGACAAACCGTATCTGACATTAATTTATTTAAATCAATAGAAAAGAAAAAGTCGGAGTCTTTTCGTTTTTTAGTAACAAATATATGGTTATTTTGTGTGTGTGTGTATACATTAAATTTGTCAAACGAAAATACAATTAGTAGGTTCAGATGAATTGGATGTTGATAAGAGGATAGCAACAAAAGTGATGAGTTGTCATAAATGATTGTTAAATAAGAGTTACGTAATGGCATGAATAGTTTGATGAATGAGTTGTGCTCAAAGGGTGTACATGGAAACAAAAATAATATACAGAATTACACAAGGGTTTTAAGTTAGAAAAATAAGCATACAAACAGAAGTAAGGTCAAATCAAACAAACAAAGAAAAGTTAGGTCAAATCAAAGGAGTAGTTACCATGCGAGTAAAAGTGGTTGGATAATTTTCTTTTGTATGCATTGTTCTGGTTCCTCCAACTGGATGGCTAGGGCTTCTGCGATGCAAAGAAGACGGAATCGTACTGTCTTTGGAAGGTTGTTCTTCACTTTGTAGATTGAAGAACAATGTTTGCATGTCCTTTAAATACTTCTGTGTAGTGAATAAAGTTAATATCTCATTATTATTGAGTTCATGAAACTTAGTCTGATATACGTATTTCCCTCTCCTGAATTCTCTTGTCGTAGTGATCGGTCAGTTAACATTGGAGTCCCACAGTGATCTCGTTGAAAAAAGGGATGAATTCTTTATTCTCTGAAATGTGGTAGTGACATTTTCCCACAAATGCCAGGAAATGAGTGCTCTAGTCATTAAGTTGTAGCGAAATAACAATATGGTATTCCAAGTTAGTTGGGTCTTCACTTAGGCTCTAAACAGTGGAAAAGCGTGTTTCAGACTAGACAAACCTTGTAAACAGCCTGCTGTCATTCTTCTTGGACACAGAAAACAAGTGGCGGCATATGAGAAAAATTAAAATGAACACCAGAAAGCTATTATATGAAATGTAAGTCAAGTAAAAGTACATAAATAGTGCAAGAAAGCCTGTTTACCCAATCCGTATGGTAATTCCTGTAACTGACAGTTAGTTTAGCTTATTAAAATGCATTTTGTGCAACTTCCAGTTTTAACATCTTGAGATTGTTTTCTTCACTTTTGAGTTAGTTACCAGGACAATTTTTCTCCTCGTTAATTTGCAGTACAAACCTTTCAGAGCTCGCTTTACAGGCCCAGGCTTTGAGCACTATTGCTGGAAATTCTGTCCTGTCATTGCAGCAGTTTGGTCTTGAAGGAATCATGGGTCAGCCTAATCTCGTTAACTTTGCTGCAGCAGCAAGTTCGGTTTTCCACACCCCATCACTCGCTGGTCTAAGTGTTTCTACACCCCAGGTACCAGCTACCGCGGGGAATCCACGTCAAAAATATACAAGAACGTCCAATAACACGACGACATCTACAGCAACTCATAACTCTGTTGCTGCTAAGCGTACTCGCCTAGAAGGTGTTTTAGGTAGTACCACGAATAACGCTTCCAATTCTAATTCTTCGTTACCCGCTGGGGCAAGAGGACAGAATCTAGTCTCACTTGTTTCTGCAACAGATAACCTTGTACCTCCGGCTAGTCGTCGCCAAGTGGCAAACTCGGGTCCCGCTCGTTCTGTGTCAGATCAGGCAACTAACAATACTGCAGCACGTAATCGTGTTGTTACGTCTGCACCTTCTCGTCCTACAAATACAGTTACGCCCAGCGCAAGTCAAAATTCACAAACAACTGGTAAGAAATCTCCCGTTACTCGCCCAAGTCGTCCAAAAACTTCAAACCATTCACTCGAAGTCGACCATTCACCAGCTCAAAAATCAAGTCGCACAGGCTCGTCAACGAAAAGTAGCAGTCCCCAGTCAGGTAAATAAGACTTTCATTATTCATTTCAATCGTTACACATGTGATAACATAAGTTGGTTAACAAAGTCTTTAATCTGGGTTTAAGGGATAGTTAAATGCTTAGACAGTCCTATAACAAGGCTTTAATATTTCCCAATGTAAACTTTGCATCAAGCCCCGGAGATTTGTCGAAAAGCCATAGTAGTTAGAAACTTATTTTCTGCCAATTTCCCAATCTAAAATAGATTCAGGGGAGTCACCTTTTACGTCTACTGTTGATCTTAAATGAGGCGTTATCAGCATTGGCCAACAGGGGAAAAACAATGGCTTGGTCAATCAGTCAGTTGTAAATAGAGGTCCACAAAAGAGAGCAGTAGAAGAAACTGAAAAAGTGCTTCTAACGGTGAGATGTAAAATAGCGAGTTTATTAATGGGGTGTCAACAAATGATGCTTTTAAGGAAGTAAATGTCTCAACGAGAAGGTAGTTCGAGCTACAGTACATGCGGATTTCACCGTCTAGTTGATAAGTAATTTCTGTCTTGCACATACCTACCATATCAGAATGTAAATTATTTTCTTCTTGGTCGCAGATTTGATTAGGGTTTTAGCGTAGTATGTCATTGTATTTTGTTTGTATTATTGGATCCGGATCGTATTCCAAATATCCTGCGTACTAAAGCAGATATCGTTTTATTAATTTATTGTAATTTAATTGTATTGGAGTGCTTGCTTTGCTGTACATCAGGCAGAGTGATGCTTATTACCTTGCCACAATATTTTACCCCTCTGCTCCTATTTGAATCAGTTAATACAAGATCTTATTTCATGATTTTATCTTTCATACACGAGTATTGACTACGAACTTCTATTTATTGACTTTAACTAATACATCTTTACTCATCACGAAATAAAAACGGTCCTTTTAATCATATCTCTCCCTTAAGTCGAATAATAGTTGGTACTCGATTAAGATTGCAGAAATTATTGGGTACATCATTTGCTTAAAAAGATTCAACTTCTTCATTGCATTCCTTTAAATTTTTTCCGTGCAACAGTTTGAAAAGATCCTTGCAATTTTTATTTTATACTTATTACTTGTTGGTTTCAATTCTGAAGACTACTAATTTTCTTTCATAACTTTAAGTTGGTTTTATGTTCTCATATTTTGTCAGGTGTTCAGTTGCATTCAGAGGATATTCTTATATGTGGACGATGTCGCCGTTTATTTGAACAAGTCGACGAACTTATTTCACATAAAATGGCCGGTTGCAGTTTAGATAAAGATACTGGGAGTAATTGTAATTGTCGAGCTGGTATGTGTTTTCAAGTGGTGTTTTTTGCTGTTGTCATAACTCATTAAACGCTTAGACAGATACTAGATTAAATTTAATCTCATTTTCGCTAAACCCTATCCCTTTTATATATTATGTGCTTAAACTAATTAGCAGTGTTCCATATAACACTGGAAGCCACTAGTCATATATTTTCTTATCATGACACCAATATACGCGAGGGATTGATTCTCGAAGAGCAGGCTGGGTTTCGTCCAGGTCGTGGATGCATTGATCATGTGTTCACCCTTCGTCAGTTGTTGGAACACCACCACGCGTATTGCAGGCCAACGATCGTTGTGTTTCTTGATATTAGGGCTGCCTTCGATTCGTTGGACAGAACTGTGCCCTGGAACTGTCTGTTAGAGAGAGGTGTACCTGAGAAATTTGTTAATATCTTGAAAGCCCTATACAGAAACACTCCAGGTAGAATGAGGGCATACAACCAACTATCATTACTGTTCCCAACCAACAGTGGGGTTGGACAGGGTTGCCCAATCTCTCCATTTCTCTTTAAGTTTGCCATCGATGACATTCTGGAGTCAGCTCTGAAGGATGTGCGTGAAGGTGGTGTAGATCTGCTACCTGGAGATACACTTTTAGACGTCGAGTATGCAGACGATATCGACTTACTGTGCAGGCTTCCAAAATCGCACTTAATCAGTTGGCGATCAGTGTCTGTAAGTATGGTATGTGCTTCGCGTCGTCTAAGTGCAAAGTACTGTTACAAGATTGGCAGGAGCCTATGCCTGCACTCACTCTTGCGGGTGAACCGCTTGAAGTTGTTGATAAGTTTGTGTATCTGGGTAGCTGTGTGAGTGTTGGCGCCGTCGCGACGTTAGCCTGGCTGTCAAAGGTCGGGTATACATGCTCCGGTGCGGATTGTCTTGCTCTGCGCTTGTGAAACCTGGCCTCTCCGAGCTGAGGATGTGCGGCGACTCTGCGTGTTCGATCACCGCTGTCTCCACAGGATTGCTTGCGTTCGATGGCATCATCGCGTGAGTAATCCTGAGGTTCGGCGGCGTGTTTGGACACAGTAGAAAACACCATTCATTGAGTGTCGTCATCTGGAAACACCGGCTCCGGTGGCTTGGACATGTGCTCCGAATGTCACCCCAGAGGCTTCCGTGCAGGTCTCTGTTCGCTAGCCCTCGGACGGGATGGAAAAGGCGGAGAGGTGGTCAGTCCATGACATGGTGTCGTGGGATGAAGGATTTTTGTGCCAGATTAGCATCGGACGGTGCGTCACGACTCCCTGGTTGGGGTCCACGAGATAGCTCGAAACGTTATCGGATATGGCCAAGAATCGTAATCAATGGCGAACGTGTTGCAATTTCCTTCTGTCTTCCCTTCCCGACGATAGTTAACGAATACTGTTTGAACTTGCTAAGCATGACTGTTCTCCTTCCAGATGAAGTTCTTTATCCGTTCTCTACTTATATATATATATATATAGGAGCTCTTATAGGAGCTCATATAGGAGCTCTTAATGTTAGGACACTTTGCCAAATAGGACAACAAGCATCACTAGCCAAGACCCTGGCATCACGAGCCATTGATGTATGCTGTGTTTCAGAAACACGCATACAAGACCCAAGTGTGGTTATTCACCTAACCCCACCTGGCCAACAGGTTGAATCTGCAAAATTCACCCTGAGGGTGTCAGGAGATGCCACAGCTAGTTCACGAGGATTAGCTGGCGTAGGGATAGCTTTGAGTACTAGGGCAGAAAAGACATTGCTTGACTGGATCCCGGTAGATAGCCGAATGTGTGCTGTCCGCCTGAACGGATCAGTAAGAAGGAGGAAGGACTGCACTACTCGCCGATGCCTTTTCGTAATCTCCGCCTACGCCCCCACTGACTGCAGTTCAGATGAAACGAAGGATGAGTTCTACCAAAAGCTGTCTAGTTTGGTGGAAAGGCTAAACGCTCAGACATAGTCGTTCTAGCTGGTGACTTTAACGCTCAAGTAGGGAAATTGTGTCAATCTGAGAAGGATGTCGGTGGCACCTATGGAGTTCCGTGCCAGCGAACCGACAACGGTGACCGTCTCCTACAGTTCTGCTCTGATAATCATTTGTTTCTTGTAAGCACTAACTTTAAACACAAGGAGAGACACTGTTTGACTTGGAGACCCCCTTCATCAAACCAACGCTGGACACAAATAGACCACATAGCAATAAGCTATCGTTGGCGTGGGTCGGTAGGAGATTGTCGCTCCTTCTGGAACACGTGCGTAGATACCGACCATGCACTGGTCCGCGCTCGGGTGTGCTTACGACTGAACGGACGTAGGAAACAGCTGGCGGTAAAACCATCACGTCCCCAGCTCGATCAGGAAACTAAATCCGTATTTCAGGAAGAACTAGCTAAACACATATCTGTGTTCGACAGCTGTGCTCACCCTGAAGAAGCTTGGAAAAATATCCAGGCAGCCATAGATACAGCTGTAAAAGCTGTGAATAAGGTAAACCCAAAGGTGAGTAAAAACCACTGGATCTCCACCGCCTCATCCGAACTGATAGATGCTAGAAGACTTATTCCGGCGAGCTCCGAATTCAATGAGGAGCGAAAGCTGCACAAGAGGAAACTTACGAAAAGTCTCCGCAAGGACCGTGAACAGTGGTGGGCGACAAAAGCCAAAGAGATGGAGAAAGCTTCGAGGATAGGCAACACCAGGCAACTCTTTGGACTCATCAGGGAAACGGGTGGGAGAAGACAAATCATCAGTGAGACAATCTCGGAAAAAAATGGCACTATAATTAGCTCCAGGATAGACGACTGGATCGTTGGAAAGAGCATTATGAGGAGCAGTTTAATTTGCCCACAGCCACGCTCAACCTTCCGAGCATCCAACACCTCCCTGAATGGGATATAAACACAGGTCCTCCGTCACTAACTGAGGTTACTAAAGCTGTCACCAATCTGAAACTAGGCAAAGCAGCGGGACCTGATGGAATGACTCCAGAGGTATTTAAGTACGGTGGAGACAGCTTACTGTCCGGATTAACTGAGGTACTAGGCAGCGTCTGGGAATCAGAAGAAGTCCCATCGGGTTGGTGTAAGTCACTGATTATCCCCATATACAAGAAGGGAGACAAGTCTTCCTGTGATAATCACAGAGGGATTAGCTTGACTAATATAGTATCTAAAGTCTTAGGCTCAATAATCATGCGTAGACTGAGTGGTGCTCGGGAAGCACAAACACGAGAGAGCCAGGCAGGCTTTAGACCAGGAAGAGGGTGTATTGATCATATCTTCACCCTCCGACAGATTCTAGAACATAGGCATTCCTACCGGCGTCCAACAGTCATTATATTTCTTGACCTAAAGGCAGCATTCGACTCTGTCGATCGGGAAGTTCTCTGGAGATGCTTGGCTGTAAAGGGAATTCCAAGAAAATATATTGCACTGATTAAGGCACTCTACTCGTACTCATACAGCCAGGTGAGGGCTTACGGCGAGCTGTCATCTGAACTGATGACGACCAGTGGTGTCCGTCAAGGATGCCCATTATCTCCTTTTCTATTCAACTTCATCATAGATGTGTTAATGGACTTAACCCTAGGTGACTTCAGCGACTCAGGGATTGACTTGCTACCGGGGAATAATCTCGTTGACTTGGAATATGCAGACGATATAGTCCTTCTAGGCGAAGACGCTGACGAAATGCAGAGTCTTCTAAACACCTTGAGCCGCAATCTACGAATGTTTGGCATGCGATTCGCTCCCGCCAAATGCAAGATGATGTTACAGGACTGGACTACATCGACGCCTAGTTTAAAAATAGGAAGTGAAGTGGTAGAGCACGTTGACCGCTTCACTTATTTGGGAAGTACCATCAGCCCCAACGGGCTGATCTCTGACGAAATCTCAGCACGAATACAAGGGGCTCGTTTCGCATTTGTTAGTTTACGCCGACTCTGGCGTAGACGAGATGTTCGACTATCGACCAAAGGGCGGGTGTACTGCTCATCAGTCCGCTCCGTCCTCCTTTATGGTTGTGAGACCTGGCCACTGAGAGTGGAAGACATGAAAAGACTAGCTGTCTTTGATCATAGGTGCCTGCGTTCTATTTCCCGTGTAAAGTGGCATAATAAGGTGAGCAACATGGAGGTTAGGCGTAGAGTTCTAGGTAAACAGGGGAAATCAATCGACGAAGTCGTGAAGCTACAAAGACTGAGATGGTTAGGACATGTGTTACGTATGCCAAGCCATCGCCTCCCTCGACGAGCAATGTTAGCGGATATAGGGTCAGGCTGGAAAAAAGCTAGCGGCGGTCAAACAAAAACTTGGCATCAGTCAATGAAATCCACAACAGTTGGTCTAAGCCACGTAGGAAGGTGTAGACTTCCAGGCTGGGGTCCTCGGGACGGTAAAAATCTATGGTTGGAAACAATTGGTGACATGGCTCAAAACCGTTCTCAGTGGCGCAGATGCATCCACTCCTTGTGACTTATGATCTCACAATGAAACTGTTTTGTATTTCTTTATTACTCCTTTGTCTCACACCTCTGCTCACTGTTTCTATTATGCTTTTCTTGTACTTTCTTCTCTTGCTTCGCGTGCTACACGGAGTGTGGCGACTTGAACTTCCGCACATTTGTGCAAAGTTCTATGTCGAAAACAGATAGACATATATATATATATATATATATATATATATATATATATATATATATATTACTTTTGATCTATGTTGTTTTATTATTATTGTGTGGCGCATCTTTCTTGGTGCCATATTGTACCAAGTTTTTTCTGCGTTTAAATAAATAAATAATAAAATATACTCGACAAAATTAGTTAAACAAATAGCCTTAAAGCTTAATATAAAATAACTTAATTTTTACTATAAAAGAAGTATAGTCTATGAAATTTAGTAGTCTATGAGGATGAGAATTCGGTTAGCGAATGTGATGGGTTATAAGGCTGTTGCGTAGAAATATGCTGCAATCAGCATAAGGGACAAGCTCCGATTTTTCACCACAAAGTCAACTCAATGCTTTTATATCGTCGAGAGACACTTACTGCCCGCATCACCAAAAGTATTTTCAACAGGCTGACGACTCATTAGTAGCTGCCTTCACTCTATGTTAACGATCAGACGACTGCCAAAAAAAGGATAGGAACCAAGGAACTCTAGAAAATAGCGAACCAACCGAAATCCTGTTGCCCCACAAATATACACAAGGAAGTGGAGATGGATTGGAAGTGCACTGAGAAGGCTATTGGGTGAAGTTGCGCTCCAGGGGAGTGAAGTGGAGCCTGAATAACGAATGAGTTGGGTCTCCGAGTTTGACATGTGGAGGCGATCGTGTGAGAAAATGAAAGCTTATGGACAATTGTGGAGTCCAAGCAACAGAGTGAAGTGGAGATGTACTATAGAAGTCGTATGTTCCACTCGGGAATAATAGTAATAATTGTGCGCCCCGAAATCCAGAAGTGAATAACATTATAACCATTTTCATAAACCGCTGATTGCATTCCGTGCAACTTTCAGAATGAGTATGGCAATGTGTCGTATTAAGGGACATCTGAAACATGTTTATATATTTCTTACTATTGTATATGACATCAAACCATGATATGTTTGACTGTCTAAACTGAGCTTTGGCGTACATCCAAATGGCCTCAGGATAGAACTTCATTTCAACCATGACACTTTGAACAACCAGATAATAATGTTGATCTTGTTACCATACGTAGAACTCATCGCCTGGTACATTAATGGGCATATATGTTATCAACCTTTAGAGAGACACATGTTAGGTTAGTAATATAGTAACAGATGATCCAGAAAAGATCAATATATTGATTAGTTAGAGATAACAAGTAAACAAAACTCTCAGCAAATATTATTAAACAACATATAATCGGTAAGTATGCTTACAACTAAAGCTTATTTCTTCCACTTGACCTCGTTTTCTCTACTACATCATCAAAACAATGCTGATAACAATTTAAAAAAAATTAATTTCACTATTCTATATATGACTTCTTTTAAATGATTAACTTACTGTTTAGTGAAAAATATGAACAAAAATTGTATTTAGAGACGTAAATGTTGTGATTGCAAGTTGATTTTGTCACTTAAACAGATAAATTTAACCTTGCCTCTGACAGAAAATACTAAAGGAAGTATATTCTGCTACCTGCGTTTGTTGTTATATATAAACCTATGCAAACCTTTTGATTAAGACTAGACCATTGATATGTATTCTTTCTCCCATATTTTTTTTACAGCTGGCGAACCAGAAACTCTAGAATGTGCATATTGTGGTGCAAACTTTTCTACTGCTTGGGGACTTATGCATCATTGTCATACTGATCATTTTCTAACTATATATGCCCTTCCTTCTCCTCCTGAATCACCATGTACATCATCCAATTCTCTTTCTTCGCCATGCTCAAGTATGTCACGTCGATATCGTGACGGCAGAAGTGAGGATTGTTCTGAAAAATCTGCAAAATCTAGTTCTCACTCTGAAAATTCAGATCATCATAAAGGTATGCATTCCACAACAACTGCAGCACAAAATATAAAGCGTGAAAATTCTGTCAGCGATAACTCTCATTCTTCTGGTCATCAAAAGATTGATGAAACAAATGAAACTAGTGACTGGGATGCTGAGGATGAAGATGATGACAATCATGAACAAGATGGCAGCGAGACTCCGACTATAGAATCAGCTCATAAAAATCATTGTAGCACGCCTAGTTCGTCAAGAGATCATTCACTTGATCGATCGGCTACACGGTCTGCAAACGGTTGTTCAGATTCTGAAGAATCCAATGAAATTTGTAATAAGAGGATGCTTAAGAAGTCTTCTCCACCATGTCCCCGTAGAAGTCGAGGTTCTGAATACGGTCGTCATGAGACTGTAGAAGACGATGATTATGCAGATGATGATTCAGAGTCTGGTAACGTAGAAGCTGATTAATTTCTAAGGTATGTGATAGCTGGTATTTTATTGGTTGGTTTTGTTTCCTGTCGATGTTCAACTTCGTATAATGAACACTATTCAACGATAACTAGTAATCAGGTTTTGTGTGTTTGTGATGATAGTGCTATGTTTGCAGTTGGGTTGTATGGTTTCACAGTTTTGCCAAAGTATGTTAGTTAATTAAGGTTAAACGTAACGCTCATTCGTAAGACAAGATATCTGTCCGTAGTTGCACACTATATTTGCATGTGCTTCAAGAGGGATTTCAGTAATAAAGTAGCAAAATACAAATAATCCTCTTAAATACTCCCAAACTGCACAAAATTACTTGAATTCGTAGTCGTTTGCTTTTTTAATGAATATTTTATTACTTCCTAAGTGCGTCGGTGGCACAGTTGTTAGGACTCTCGCCGACCATGCACATGGTCCGGGGTTCGAGCCCGCACCGACGCACATCTGATATCTATGGTCGGCCTGCAAAATTTGGGCTACCGATATCCATGCTGAAAATTCCATACTTGTACCGAAAATACAGTGTGGAATCAAGCTGTAAATCAAAAATCAAATTTATCAATAAAATGGTCGTAAATGTCAGCTTCTCAGATGGACTTTGATCTGAAAATACAGTCTACACCAAAATCAAGGACTAGACTCATGACAAGAGGTCATTTGGGAGCCCGAACAACTCATTGGTAAAGTCTGTGACTGCAACACTGACTAGTGCCTGTTCGAATCTCAGAGGAGATACTAGTTTCTATAAGGTTACGGTTATTCTTTGCTGGTGAGTGCCAGTGACCACGATACTTAAGCCTAGGGCTTCCTGCCGATTACCTCCAACCATCTAACATCAACTGACAATGCAACATAAATAATGGCCAGTCTCTCAGCTTGGTAACCACATTGCAAACTTGATTAATAGATAGAATTCAGTCTACACTAATAACGAAGACAATATGGCAACTCAAATAGACCCATCACTTTTCACTATACAACCTCGCCACAGCGACTGGCTTTATTGTCAGGTTTTATTCAACACCTCCAATTCACCCGGTTTCCTCTATCGACATCGCAACGCTTGATTTAATAATTTTGGGCCAAATTTGCCTAAGGCGCGCTTATTAAGTGGATTTGAAGAAGCGTCCTGCGATTTGTATTACTTCAGATAACCAGAAAAAGCTGCAAAATGATCACCATCAGTTTAAGTATTGAGTTTCAGAATCGTATAGCCTTTCTTATCCCACTTAAGAGGATGTGAGGTAACAACAGATACTACCCCAAAATAAATATTGTTCATCATGTGGTGCTATGTTATGAGCTGACCAACTCTCTTCTTAAGGTCAATCATAGGGATGACAAATAGTAAACAATACCGAATCACCTGAGACAAAGTTTATAATAAGTCGTATTCAAACCACCGCACCTTTCTTTCCCAATCGGTCATCATCGGACACAAGTAATCCTACTAAGACTTCGGCCTGTCAGGCATTCTTATTTGTGGTAGACAGTTTTAAAGGTTTAGAGCAAGCTACGCTCAAAGGTGTGTGATGAGTCGTATCTTCGACTGCCAGACCAACATTTCCATAGTGTCAAAGATTATCCACACCAGGATATACTACCGTAGCTTTCGATACGCAATCAGAAATCTTATTTGTCACACTAGTGCGCACAACTATCCAGATGTTATAGACTTTTCGACTACTTCTAACTGTTGACCTATTGCTAGAATGTGTGTGTGTGTAGGCTTCTTACCAATTTTAAAACACTATTTGCCAGTTGAACTAGACAAAACACATACCATACCTGGACTAACGGTCATCTGACTAAATGTCATTTAGGTGGCCTGTATGTTAATTCACAGCATATACTGCAAGCCAAGAGTAGCATATATCTAAACCATCTCCACATACATCTGTCATATTACTACGTGTAAAGATCAAAAGGAGGAGTAACCGAGCCAATACTTACATTCTCTTTACATTGTAACAATATAAATTCAGATGCATGTAAATCACCACTAAAGGTGGTGAATATCTTGATGTAAACATTTCTTTAAGAATATTATTAACACTATATGCAAATAAAGTTTCCATTTTAAAAAAAAAGTAATGAGCGACGTGTAGCTGAGTTTAAGTGCTGAGTAGTCTTCTCCAATCATCTGTCCCAGGGCCTGTGAACTAGTTATATATTAGTTATTGAATTACCTTTTTTTCCTCTCATTTAATCATGGCTACTGAGGTAAATACCTATGGTATATTCACCTTCATGCAGTAATAAGCTTCAGTTTTATGACTAAGACCATGTCTCCAGGAAACGAGATGTCCTGGTGTGTGTCTGTGTGTACATATGTGTAATGTACAGTGTTTAACCGGGAGAGCGATAATCTAAGCGGATTTTTCCGTTTTAAAGGGATGAGCTAATAACATTGCATAAATAGTACTACCAAATCGGGTCTTGTATTCATTATCAGCACAGCGCGGATGATTTCCTTGTTTTCTGAAATTGTACCGAGTCGTAGACTTTTAACTTTTTTTTTAACTAAACTCTGCTGTTCTTCAATTTTGTCATTTGTCACGTACTGCATACTTGAATTTTGTTTTATGTTTCACACTGTGTGATCTATGATATAAGGACAGAAAATCTTAGACACTTAGTTAGGTTCTTTTCATTTAAACGAGTGCAAATGAGTGTGCATATGTGAGGTGTTTTCTTTTTCGTTGTTTTTGTTTCGTTTTTGAAAAGTCACTTTTCAAACCTTATTGTGTTTGTGTAGTAGAAGTAGTAGTCTTAGTGTGTGTAGTGGTGGCTGTGATTTTGACCGAAAAACTACATTTTTGTCTCCCTTGTCCAATATTTTTTTGTACAACCAAAAATTATCTGTACGTTTATTTGACAATGTCAAACAATGAACATACTCTTTTTTTCGCATAGTAATCATGAAATATAATTCATACTGATCATGATTTTTTATTATCTTCTAGTTTTCTGGGTTATTTTTGTATTTATGGAGTGTTCACAGTTTTGTCTTAAAAGATATTGTGAGGTGTGTGGAATGTGAATTTTGTTTGCGGAGAAAAGTAGTATTTGCAAGGTGTTATCGCGCATAGTATATAGCAAAAGGCCACAATGGATACTCCAGTCGTGTTGAAAAAGTCTGTAGAATACCTCTAAAACAGCCAAATGTAACAGTTGTTTTGCTTAGATTAAAGCGTCTGTGGCACAGTGGTTAGTACTCTCACCGACCATGCGCATGGTCCGAGGTTCGATCCCTCGGCGACGAACACCTGGTATCTATGGTCGGCCTGCGAAATTCGGGCTACCGATATCACATGCTGAAAATTTCATACTTGTACCAAGAATACGGCGTGGAATCAAGCTGTAATAAAAAAAAAATCAAAAAAAATTAGGCACGCAGTATACAAAATCACATGGGAATAACTGCCTCAGAAAATTCCAGTTGTAATTGACCACCTCTATTCTACCTGTTCAAGCTGTCGGCCTTTTAAAAGGTTCAGTATCCTGTGGAACAGTTTGCACTGCCTTAATTTATAACCACATAGGTGATTTCGTCTCATCGGCCTTTCTGTCATCTTCAATTAATTTAGCCTTATATATTAGGTATGACAAGTCACCCCCATGTTAGTGCAATCCAGTGCTAAGTGAAGTAGGACTAGGTTTTAGGTAAGGGCCAATCGTACCAGTGTGTAAAGCTTTTTAACGTTGGTTTTAGTTACTTATTGCTGGCCTTGTCTTCTTAGCTTGAATTTTTGACAATCAAAAACTTAACACTTGTTGATTTTCCTCAAGTTTGATTACGAGCTGAGGTCAGTCAGAGAATCACTGGGAAACCAGGGCATACTTGGACAGCCGTTTCGTCCTAGCTTGAGACTCGTCATCAGTACTTTGTCAGCTCGTGATCAGATCTGTAACTAATCAAATCCCTGTAAAACAACACGTGATAACTAGTTTGATGCTCACTAGCGACTGGCCTTATACAGGAAGTTTCCTGGAGTCCCGGTGAGAATTCATGACCAATAGGGTCCACTAAGTCAGGTGGGAGAACGGTTACCGGCTATGACACTGGCTGGTGGTCGTGCTATATTATGTATCGTGAATAGGCAAAAGTTGGAATTTATAAGGTATTTGATTGGGTCCCAGTGGTTTGGTGTTCTACTAACTTGCTTCCAAACTGGAAGTTCTTGTGTTCCAACCCATGTGGGTGCTGACATGCGAAGAGTCCGAAAATGGGACGAAACAAGCTATTGAGTACTCCTTTGTTTTCCAGTGGTTTTCTAACTGATGTCAGCTTGTTACGAAATATGTAGCCAGTCAAATTTTGTCTAAAATCGACTGTAATAGTTCGGATTTTTAAAATTTTGAACATGTTGTGTGACTACTATTCCTTTTAGTTATCCATTAATCGTGTTTATTATTCATTATAGTCATTATCCCCTTCTTATTTGATTTTTATGATCTGCCTCTGGATCTGAACTTAAACTGTGTCCCACGTTAATTCTGTCAATCTGTTGATGATGCAGGACTTTAGTTTCGTTTCAATGCTGAAAAGTAAACAAGTCAGTAGTCACACAGCCTTTGACTTAAGCATTTTGAAGGAACCTATGTCTCAAGTAACTTTCAACACTTTCGATTTTACTTCACCTACGTCGTGTTCAAAAAATAATGTATGAAATTAGTAAGTGAAGATAAGATTGACAGTTATTTTTTCATGTTCTCCAGTACTTTGTTATTTGGTTGTGGATGTTTCAACAGCAGATTTGATAATGGCATTGTTCCGAGTGGAGTATGCGCTTTCAGCAGATCATCTCTATTGTACTATTGGTTCTCTGCCATCATTTACACCTAGATTCACGAGTACCCATAAGCTTCCACATTTCCTCCTCACATGATCTTCAGACCACCTACGAACATACTCTACTTTACTCCTGCCATTCGGGTTCCACTCGACAATTTCGGATGTCTCCCCAGAGTATTTCCAAATAATTTTCATTCTCTCTTGCATATTTCTTAGGCAATAGGTTGTTAGCAAGTTGACTGACTTCCCGAGTTTCTTACCGGTCATCTGATCTGATCTACAGTATCAAGCCAGCTGTGCGATAAAAGTTTGCATAAATTTTAGAAAAAAAACTAAAAAAAATTAGCTATTTCGTTAGGTGTTTCTCACAAAAGTGTAATGGTGAATGTGAATATCTCCCACATACAACTGAACTGGTAGACATGCAGGTCTACCTAGGGATGCTGCAAGATCCTAACTCCAAGCTCCAGAATCCGAAAGGATTTAGAGTGGTGTATGAATCTGTTTTGGGTCACCGGAAGCTATTGGGAACGTAGCTCCCGACCCCCATCTCACACTACACCGTGGATCAGACTTCAAGTTAAGAGCTTACGAATAGTCTCCGAAGACAATCATGGGTCTCAGTTTGGGCGAACAGGCAGTATCTCAGCCCTCTTGGTGCTTATAATGTACCAACTGTGTTTATTATTATTATTGTTCCCTTGGGTTCCTAGTGGAACATAGGGCTTCAACTGCACGTCTCCACTAGCTTCTGTCTTCTGCCCTACTTTTCACCTGCATCCATGTTAGTCCATACTGTTTCAACTCCTCAACTCTTCACACGATCTCCTCCATTTCACCCTTGGAAGTCCCACTCGCCGCTTCCCTTTCGGCCTGGTTCCACTCGAGCAATGGCCTGACGCGCGCGCGATGTCACCCAGCGGCCTCCTCAGCCACGAGTGTCCAATCCATCCATCTCCACTTTCTCCTGCATATTTGTTGGGCGGCGATTGGTTCTTGTTTTGTTTGTTCCCAGCCATAGTTTCTTGTTGGTCATTCTTTCCGGCCCAGCCATCTGGTCTTCAGCATAGAGCGAGGACAGTTGTTGATGAAGGTATGCAATCTGTTGGAAATATTCTTTGTAACCCGCCAAATTTCTATCTGATCTGTGTAGAAAAACTGACTTGACGTTTGTATTGATGCTGAGTGACGAATATTTTCAGATTGGTTTCAGGTTGGTGAATGTGTTTCTCGCCTTTCCGATTCTCGCTCGATTTGACATCCTCGTCCGTTCCTCCTGTAGTTGAGACACTGCTCCCTAGATAAGTGAATGAGCTAACCTCCTTCATATTCCTCCCGTTGATGGTGATTCGCGTTTGATGTTGTAGTTGTTGGTTGGTTGGTTATTTTCATCACCTCCGTCTTGTCTATGTTTACTTGGAGTCCTGTCTTCGCCGGCTGCTTCTTCGACCAGTTTGTCGCTTTTCGCTTCTAAGTCTTCGATTTTGTGTGACGTCTGTCTGTCTGTCCAGAATATCCCTGTCTTCTCGTTTCCCACTCACTGTCTGACGCATAATCCAGTCAGTCCACCACAATTAGGAATATCATTGTGGGTGATAATAATCACCCTTGTCTGACTCCTGTGTTTACTCCAAATGCCTCGCTGAGAGTGGGTTATCCGTTGTGGATCACTTGACATGAGCCACCGTTGTCGTACAGCTGTTGAATAAGGTTGATGAATATTTGGGACACTGTACGCCGTAGTAGTCGAGTGGTTTCCAAATTACTTCGCGGTCAACGCTGTCTGTCGAAGGCCTTCTCAAAATCTATAAATTTGAGGTAGAGGTTTGATTGCCATTCCATGCTTTGTTATTTATTTATATATTTAGTAAGGTAAAAATTCACTTGTGTCTCTCAGGGGAGTGCCTTGAAAAACTGTTCTCTGTTAAAGTGATTACCATATAACGGTAAGTTATTGTCTTCACTATGCATTGTATAATAATACCTCGTATATCAGTTAGTGGGATAATGTTGTTCGTTATCGTAAAATTTTTGTATTACGTGTTATATTTTCCTTTTTATCCACTTCTTCATTCCTTCATTTTCCACAAATTTATGAACTTTGCCTGCCCATCCTGCGCTTATATAAACCTAACAAGAGTTATGACTAATTAATTAATCACATGTGTGTGTGTGTCCGTATGCGTGTGCGCGTTATGTTGGCGAGATCAATATCACTTATATGAAGAGCCTTTGTGTAATGTTAATTAACTTGTTCATTTATCACAGGCTTTTTCTTCTTTTAGCGCCTAACTTTAACCTGTTCTTTTGATAGTCTCTTACCTTTTTTTTCATGATTGCAGTGTTTCGGCACTCTTGGCTTTTTTTGGGATCTTTTTTTCTTGATTTAATTATGGGAAAACAAGTCTGTGTTGCTTTTTCTTCTTCGGCTTACTCTGTCTTGCACCCGTGTTGATAATTTACTGTTTTTGTTTTCATTGTGTGGAGAAGCACAGTTGTTTCTGGCACATTCTTATGCATACTTCAGCATTGAGTTTTTCTCTCTCCTGTGCGCCTCATACCATATCTCTCGTCGAAATGACAATGGGATATGTGGCGATGAATAGGAAGATTTTTTGTCGTTGTATCGTCTCTTGTTATTTCAAGTTCCTTTTTGTCTGATGATTATATAGTTCCAATTAAATTTTAATAAGAATATTTGCCTACTAGTCACATAAAGTATAGTTTTTGAACTACTTGAGTTTCTATACTTCATCGTTTTTGTCCGTCTGTCTGTTTGTTTATTTTTCTTTCTAATTCTACGTCTATTTTCTTTATTTTTTCTCTCTCTGTCTCTCTATCTCTGATATTTTGATTTTTATTTTTAGACAACAGAATCACATTTTGGACTGGAACCTAGCCTAGATACACAAACGCACATATACACTTCATATTTTCAATCTTCATTCGTTTCACCCTGAGTTACGCCTGTCTTCCCTCTGTGTGTGTGTGTGTGTGTGCGTGTCTCCCCCCTCCCTTTATATATGTGTGCATGTGCGTAGTGTATCGGTGCTAGCCAGCCAGCCAGCCCGCCCGCTTGAGAAGTATTAAACAAGCCTCCTTTTGAAGGATGTGTACTTCAACAGCGACAAAATTGTCTTTGTGTGTGTGTATCCCTCTTCATACACTTGCCCGCCTTCTCCCCTCTTAATGCCCAAAATGGTTCGTCGACGTCGTCATCATCATCATCATCTTCACTACTGCTACTGTCGTTGGAAAGAAAGAAAGAATGAAAGAAGAGGAGAACAGGAGACAACACTGATATCTGAATAAATTTATCACTATTTATTATTATTATTGTTTTTCCTTCTTATGTTCTTCATTATGTATGACATAATGAATCTGCAATTTACTCGTTTGTTTTATGAAATATGATTGTAATGATAACGATAACAATAATAATAATGATAATTTTGGTTATGTGTGTATGTAAATGTGTCTTTATGTTCTAAGTTATGTTGATAAAGACTGAAGAGAGATGTTAACAAAAATAATAATGATGATGATGGTAATGATAATATCAATAATAAAATGTTCTTTCACCTCGATTTTTCTGTCTTTTTTTTATCTATGTTATTTCAATCTGTTTTGTGCGGATCTTCTAAGTAACACCATCTCGATTTCATCCCTTTTTTCCACCCTCTCTCTCATATCATATTGCGATCGGGTTTTTGTTTTATTTTGTTCTGGAGTGTAGCGGAGCGGAACAAATATGTTACATTCCTGTTTTTTTTTTACTACTTTATGCCTATATTCCAATGTGTGTGTGTGTGCGTCTGTGTATGTGTGTTTAGACGGCACCAACACACGAAGAAGGTCGTCGAATGTTATTGACATTGTTGTGGTTATTCTTCTCGTTATTGCCTCCGTATCATCGTTATGCTCCTTTTTCTTACCAAATTTTCTCGTCATTATTTCTTGATATATGTGGGTCACGTTCATGACCACTACTACTAAGCAGTGTGCTACTCATAATTTTGACTACTATTGTTCATTGTTTTAGTCTTTGACTTGTCGTCACCGCCGTTGTCACATGTGTCGTATTCTCAGGGATTTTCTATGAATTACCGACTTGTTTGTATATGCATATGTATAGAGTTAAATTATTTTTCTCCGTTTCTAACTTCACAATTTAATATTTAATTAGGCTGTTAATCTTGTCTTATCATCTCCTCGCCACCCGTTCACTCCGCGTCCCGTGCTTTATTTTTACACTAAAAAGAGTATAACGCTTATTTTCAGTGCTGTGTGTGTAGTCAAAACAAAATTGAAGAATCACATACCATTCTTTGTTTGTCTATTATTATTTTTTCCAATTCATTGTCTTGTCATGGATTTCGTTTTCGTAATTTGCTTCTTGTCTTGATGAGATATGTAAAGTATGGCAGTAGAATGATTATGATGTCCCGTTATCTATCCTTAGGCCCCATCATATATACCTGTCGTATATATATATTTGTGTTACTCATTTTTTTCACGTTTTCACCACTCTGGTGGTTGTGGTATAATCTAGTATTTCTACACTTATCATCATCATCTCTCAAGTGGTGGTGTTACTCTTACAGTCTACTACTCTATCTTGAATATTCGTTCCGATTAGTACAAAAAGAAAGCGGTGGGTAGTTTATCAGTATTGAACAGAAATATCTCCCTACCTGTCTCTATCTCTCTCACTCTGTCTGCCTGTACATAAACATACATATATGTTTTGCGTATTTGTTGCAGTCGATCATCGCCTACATTATCAGCATTAAGGGCGATTATTGTTATTTATTAATATTATTATTACCTCTGGTCTTATTTTTGTATTACTATGTATGATATCTTATCTAAAAGAGACGCGTTTTGTAGGCTGAAGAGTGTATATATTTTTTATTTCCAGTGTATAATATGTTTATACATATATTGCTTATAAATCCACTTATTTTTATTTATCAAAGGGTATATTGTGCTTTTCCACACGTATTCTGTGCCCTTGGTAAAGTGTATATCTCTGTTATTGTTTTTGAACCCAATTAATACAGTCTATGCTATGCTATGCTGAGTGACGGCTGATACGATGCTTACCCAAGTTGCTCAGGCTAAAATACTCAGAGTGTGTGGCTCGAATTCTAGGCGTCTATCATCATCGTCTGAAAATAAAATTCTTACTAAAATCATGGCAGTAAAAGAGGTTGATAAAAACTTTCCTGAACTCAAAGTTTCAGTTTTTCCTTATGAATGATGGCTGAAGCTACGGCAGCATGAGTAAGACGTAGGCGAAGTCTTTTTTTTGAACAACGACTTGATCTTACCTAATGTGTGACTCTGAATGAAGTGTCTGCCGCGTTCTATCTCTCGTGTTAAGTGGTATAGTAAGGTGACAAATATTGAGGTTAGGTGTCGAGAGCTATTTTAAGGAGGGAAAATCAATAGACAAGGTTGTGAAGTTACATCGATTGAGAGAGCTGGTTAGGACATGTGTTACGTACGCATGTCTAATCATTACTTTCCTCGACGGGCAATGTTAGCTGATATAGGATCGATCAAATTGGAAAAGAGAAGGCTAGTGGTGGTCAAACGAAAACATGACCTCATCAATCAATGAAATCTATAACAGTTTTATTTAAGCCAGTCATGTAGGGAGGTGTAGACTTCCTTATTAGGGTCATCGGGATGGTAAAAACCAATGAGGACTGGAGACAATGAATGATATGGCTCGAAATCGTTCTCAGTGGCGCAGATGCATCCATTCCTTGTGACTTATCCAATAAAATTCTATTGTTCTTCCATATTACTATTCTTTTTCCCTCACTCACACTTCTGCGTATTATCTCTCCTTACTCTCTTCTCTTGCTGTGTGTGCTACATGGAGGGGGAGTCGCAACTCGGACTGGTGCACATCCGTGCAAAGTTGTACGTTAAAACCAGTCAGTTTCTGCTGAAGTTGCGTGACCAGAAGTAATAGTGTACTCTAGAATAGAGCTGTTGATTGTTGCGTGTTCTCTTCTTGACAACCATGCTGATAAGTGTTCATGACCACGTCTAAATATCCAGCTAGTATGGTCTGGGTATTTAACTCCATAGGAGCAAATAAATTGTAAGTGCACATTGAAGCTACCAACAATGGGATCTTTTCTTTGGTGTTTCTAATGAGCAAGATCATGTAGGGAAACGTTGAGGTGTAGAGATACGGTAAAGAACATTCTTCTTCGTATTACTCTCAATAGGCGGTTTCGGAGAATTTCACTGATTGCATCTCCCGTGGATTTCAGATTTGTAATTAGTTGTTTCTTGGGCATATCCAGGCTTCGCGGATTATCGATCTTTCTGTTTAGATGTTTGTCTATGAAAGAGGTTGGGTATCCATTTCTAAAGGATTCTACCGGCTGACAACTGGCTACCTTGTCGTGGTGGTTGAGCTTGAATACCACACTGACCCAACAAGCTAGGCCGACTGAGACTCATGTTCCTGCAGGTCCTACCATGTCAGAAAGGTTGTTTGGATAGCAGTTAAACTAAAAGCAGTTACCAAAGGGTATATGGGCTTCAGAATCCAATCGGATCAAATGGCATATAAACCTGCATTGGTCACCGGCAACCATGGGAATGTAGCGCCTGACGCTGCTCTACTGCCTCGCAGATTAAACTCCAAGTCAAAGGCCTGGGGAGTGGTTCCTTAAGACAACCACCTGCTTCTGTCTGGGCAGTATCTCAACCCCCACGCAATCAATGAAATGAAACAACAAACTGTCAGTGAAACTTATTGCACGCTCTCTTAACAACACTCGAATAGTAATGGTGTTTCAAGTGAGCTATCTCTTTCCATTCTTACTTTTTTATTTTTATACATAGACTCCTGTGTTTTACTTTTGCTATCTTTGACGTTTTCATAATCAGTGGGAATTTTTCACGCCTTGAAGACGATACACGCTTACAGCTTAAAATCTTTCAGTGTAAAAAATGTAATTTATATATCTTTTATGAAAGAGTTTCTCTTGAAATGTACAATGAATTTCCACTTTTTATTTAATAAGGAACTATATAGACAAATTGACGGTGTAGCAATCGCGTCACCACTAGGACCCATTGTAGCCGACATTTTCCTTGCGAAACTAGAAAATGGGCCTCTGAAGGATGTTATTAATGAACTTGAATTTTATTGTCGGTACATGGATGATACTTCTTTGATTATGAAAAACGAGAAAGAAGCAAAGAGCATCCTGGATAAATTTAATGAGTTACATCCTGCAATAAATTTTACCATCGAGACAGAAAAAGAATCTAGTATTCCATTTTTAGACGTTTTTATGACCAGAAAAGAGGATGGCACAATAAGAAGTGTTTATAGAAAACCTACATCAACTGGCCAGTACACATATTTTCTCAGTTTTGTGCCCTTGAAATACAAACGCAATTTGATACAGTGCCTGGTTCACAGAGTAAGAGCGATTTGCTCGGAGGAATGTCTTGACGAAGAATTGAATAATATTAAACGGTTGCTAAGTGAGAATGGTTATTCAGAAAAGCTTATTGATAAGAATGTGAATTTGAAACCGAAGTTACCAACAGTTCCAAAAAAGGCCTTATTCTTTCAGATGCAATTCCTTGGGGACAACACTAGCGAGATACTAACACAGCGCATTAGAAATGCGGTAAAACGAGCATTCCCTGCTGCTGAATTACGTTGTATCTTTAAGACCACTCCTCTTCCTTCTGCATTCGGGAGTAAAAGACAAACTGCCTAATTTCGCCTCATCCATGTGTATCTACCAATTTAACTGCTCATGTGCAGTGAACCAGTTACATAGGCCGCACAATTAGGCGTGTTTCTCGTCGAATTTCCGAACATCACCCTGCGTGGTTAGGCAAAGGCCAGACAAAATCTATTCGTAGCGATATTCTGGCTCATCTTGTGGATACAGAATATAAGATTGATGTTAACCAGGCTTTTAGAGTTATTTACCAGATACCAACAAATCTCAACTCCGCCTTAAAAGTTCGATTGCTAAATATTGCTGAGTCTGGCTTTTGGGATCCATATTATAAAGCCTAATTTGTGCGTCCAAAAGAAGTCAGTTCAGACACTGTCCTTACCTTGGCCGTCTATGTTTGAATGATCCTCAATTTTTGTGGCAATTTCCTAATTTTAGTTGATATTCTATTTGCTACTATATCTTTATTATTATTATTATTATAATTTAAGCATCTTTGAGGAACTGTAATTCCATTGATCATACTTTACAAATCGATATTATTTAAAGAACGCTAATATTCTTATTAACTACCAATCTTGAATATTTTGTGTATATAAACATATATATAACTGTTGAGCCAGAAGAGGAATTTATCGAAAAGGATATTCTTTGCTCAATTATTTTGTGTTTTATAGATGTCTGAATGAATATTTTCACAATTTCATCAATTGTTTTCATATGTTAGAGATATTAACTAGTCTCAATGTAATATTGACTGAACAGGTGAATTGAATGACTAACCAAGTGTTACAGTAGCTATCTTACCCCCACACTTACTTAATTCGGCTTCGGTTGTTCGCGTGTTGTTGTT